ATTGCTGGGTCAAAGGGTATATACAATTTTATAGCCTTTTGGGCATAGTTTCAAATTACTCTCCAAAATGATTGGATCAGTTCACAACTTCACCACAGTATATTAGTGTTCATACCAGTATTTCTTGAAGAATATTACTAGTTTCATTGGCCGATTGAGAAGAGCATTTCACAGTGCACATAGACTTTTTTTTAAAACACATTTACATAAAAAATACACATTTACAAAAAGTGTTCAAATACAAAACCTTGCCTTATTCACCACCATATTTCTTCCTTTGTACATTTAAAATAGCATTTAGTTTTCATTTTATTATTGATCAGAGCTCTCCATACATTAGTGCTTATCTTTAGTAGAGCAGTGGAGGAAAAAATTCTTAGACGTCTTGGAAGAATGTTAATTACTTAGAAAGAATCAATATTGTCCGATAGTTTCACGGTTTCAAGCTTCAAAGAAGAGAAAGGAAGTAGCATTCATGGGTTGTCGGGGTGGGGGTGTCAGGGAGGGAGAGACGAAGACAAATCATCTAACCTTGTTGGGTCTGTTTTCTCATCTTTAAAATAAGGGGGTTGGATTAAATAGTTTCTGAGATTTCTTCCACCTCTAGATCTCTGATTCTATTGAGAACAGAACTGCCCTGTGGACAGCCAAGTCTCACTAAAGGACGAAACTAAAGGAAATCAAACAATGATTGGTTATGAAGAAGACTAACATTTAAGGCTATTAAACTCTAACAAAGTAACTAAAGCACCACAACAATAAAATGACCAAGATCTTAACTTCTACTTGGAGAGACATAATATGTACACATATAAATATATAATACAAGGTGACAAGTAATTGGAACAAAGTACTCTAAAAATTCCGAAAAGAGAGAGAGTAGTTTTAACTGATAGGATTAAGAAAAACTTCACAGTGAAGGACTATTTGTCAGGATTGGCTCTAATCAAGTCTTTAATTTTTTTGTGTCATGGCCCCCTTCAGTTGTCTGGTGAAGCCTACAGAGCCTTTCTCAGAACTACATTTTTAAACGCATAGAAGAATCTACACAGGATGAAAAAGGAAACCAATTATATTGAAATATTTATCAAAATAGTTTTTAAAAACATTAATAGACTACAGATTAAGAACCACTGAACTAGATGATGTATCTAGCTCAAAGACTGTGATTCTCTGATCATTAGTTCATTAGAACTATTGTTAAGTTCTGTCCCAGTGCTAAGATCTGATTAACACGTAATTTCTCACGAGCACCTCTAAGGCATAAAATGAGGTAAACCTGTGTATCTGTCACTTTGGGCAGAGACTTCACCACTACATAGGTTCAAATTCATGGTGAAGGCCAACCCAGCAACAACAAACCCTGAAATTTGTCCCCAGGATTCCCAGGGCCACAGAAGCAGATAGGCACAAAAGAAGGATCTCAAGGAAGTGTCATCCTCAAGTAAGAGCAGCCAAATAAGTTTGTGAAAGAGCCTGATGTAGACAGGATAGGAGAGTACTAGAACTGCTGGGCAGATGTAAGAGTATCGGGGTCCTGTCCGTGCCCCTTAATTGTCTGTCAGAAGCTGAGCATATGTAAAAAAATCAGCATATAAAGTGTCCTGAATCATACAAATGGTATACTCCCATCTGTGACCAGACGTTCTCTTCTCTTTGTGTTTAATTATATGTGTGTGTTTATAAGTGCACACACACATATATATGTATACACATGAATACAAAGTCAAGGCAACAAGCATTTACAAAGTGCTTTCTAAATGCCAGGCATAGTGTCGAGTGCATACTTGTTTTGACATAAAAGGCTCTGCTTTCAAATCCTCGCTGGACTACTCAATAACTAAGTTCACTTTCTTGGGCCTCAGTTTTCCCATCTATAAAATGAAGAGGCCGGACAACATGAGTTTTCAGGTTCTTTCCACTTTTAAATCCTATAAGCTGGTATCATTGTATATGATAAACAAGGACATTGAGCTTCTTCTGTTTGCTTGTTTGTTTGTGTGTTTGTTTTTATATATTGGAGGCAATCAGGGTTAAGTGACTTGCCCCAGAGTCACACAACTAATAAGTGTCTGAGGCTAAATTTGAACTCAGATCCTTCTGACTCTAGGCATGGTGCTCTATCCATTGAGCCATCTAGCTGCCCCTATTTTAATTTAGTATTTTATTTTTCCTCAGTTGCATGTAAAAACTATTTTTAACATTTGTTTTTAAAATGCTGAGTTCCAAATTCTCTCCCTTTCTCCCTCCCCACCTCCCCTTATTGATTTCATATAGGTTATACATGTATATTCATGCAAAATATTTCCATAACAGTCAGGACACTGAGCTTCTGAGGCTAACCCATGTGTCTGCCTGCTCCCATGATGGTCTGAAAGGAATAAATGTGGATGCAGAAACCTCTAGGGTCCCTGAAGAAAACAATTCCACAGTGAATATATTTCTAGGTATAATTAACTAAAATAAACGCACGTAAGACCATTACAGAGTTCCAAGTTACACATTACTAAGGTCTACCAAAGCTTTGTGTTGTGGTTTTTTTTGGGGGGGTTGTTTTGTTTTTGGACCAAACTGTGGTTTTATCAGTATAGGGAACTCCCAGTGAGAAACTTCCTCTCCCAGTGCAGACTGGCCCCTTTTCTGAAAATCATAATCTTAGATAGTTGTTGCCTAGGGCCCTGAGAGGGTGAGAGACTTATCTAAGCCAGTATGTAGCAGAGACAGAGAACTGAATCCCAGGTCTTCCCATCTTTGAGACCAGCTCTCTATCCATCATTTCCCTACTCCAACTAAATATTTTAAAAAACAAAATTGTACCAATAATTTTGATTTTTATACCACCTACATTTCTCAATATTTCCTCATGTCCTACCTTTCCCAGAAAATCATCCATTGTAGCAAAATATAAAAAAGAGGAAAACTTTTTTTAGAAATACTAACCAACATGTTGAAAATGTTGACAGTTACAGTATTCTACCCATAATCTCCCACCTCTACAAAGAAATAAGGGATGGTAGGAGCAATATTATCTAGCAGTTCCCAGGTCATAGCGGTTAGGCTTACTTTTCTTAGGACCTTGCCTAATGCAAGTTAGACTAGCTTTTCCTTAAAAAGTATCAAAACAGTCCCTGAGGTTTAAACATAAGGGGCTAAAGGAGTCTGGTAAACAAGTTGGGTCATTCCACATCCACATGCTGTCTCCTTGTTGAGTATCCTTTAAGTAAACCTCTTTTTATGTCCTAAGAGTGCTTCATTTTGTTCCAATATCAAACCTAAATTACCAGAGGACTGTCCTGAGTCAGGCCTGGCCCATTAGACAGGAGAAGTGACCTCTGACATCTTTTCTTTGGGGCCAAGCTTGGCCATCATAATTTTGCAGACCGCATTCTCAATGGTTTTGTTATTCTTCTTTCCAACTACATTGTTGCAGTCGCTTTGTGCATTGTTTTCCCAGTTCTGTTCTATTCACCTTGAAATCAGATCTCATGCTTCTCTGTTTTCATGAAAGTCCTCATTTCTTATTCTCCTGCCAAATTTAAAAAATCTAACTCTTAATGTTTTTTTTTTTGTTAAAGTGAATATTAATTACGCACCGCTGGAAATCACCTGAGGATGTCAAGCCTCAGAATTGTAGGCTGCTCCTTTTTCCGCGGAAGCTGTCCAGAAACTGGCAGTGAGAGAGGAGCAGATTCATTTTCCAAATGAATCAGAATGAATGCTGTTATTGCTTACTAGGACACTTTGGAGGAACTGGAAACTCACTACTTTGTGAGGCAATCTTTTCTATTTTGGGTTATGCTAAGTCTTAGAAAGCGCTTCCTTTTACCTGTTCCAGTTAAAAGGCAGAATTCTTAGAAGTCCAGCAGTTACCAGCTGAGGAGCATTCACCAACCAAGCGCTTTTACTCCAGCCTCATTAATACAGAACTCAGAAACAGCCAGACTTTCATATAAGCTTAATATAATAATAGTAGCTGACATTTATTAATTGTTCTAAGTTCTATACTTTACAAGACTCAAAGTTGAATAGTGGTGAGAGAGTCAGCTTCAGAGCCAGAAAGTTTGGGGTTAAATTCCTTTCCCTGACACATACCAGACTGTATGCCCCTTAGCATTTTTCTAACCATTTCCCTGAGCAAGTCACTTAATCTTTCAGGACCTGAGCCAGCTCCAAAAAGTTAGAGAAGGTGCTGGTCCACATTGGTAGAGGGAATGTCCTTACCTGGGAGTTCTTTACGGCAGTACATGTTAAGTCCCTCTCTGTCTCATTTGGTCCTTTCAGTAAAGCAGATGATATTGTCCCCATTTTATAGATGTGATGACTGAGGTTTGCAAGGGTTAAGTGGCTAGCCTGTAGCCACACAGGTAGTGTCAGAAGCTGTCTCAGCTAACTCCAAGGCTAGTGCTCTATTATATTTATAATACTATCACTCAAACATAACAGAACTATTCCCATTTTCCCCAACAATGCGTCCCCAACCATTCAGAGGATTTTAATAACATGAGGCTATCTTTCCACCAAGAGAGCAACTAAATGTCACAGATTTCTCAGTTAGTAGAACTTGAAAAGAGAAGACTTTCATCCTCAAGTATTTGAAAAGTTCTCATACCCTTATGGAAGATGGATTAGATATATGTCGTGCCACTCCAGAGAAATGAACTAATGCTACTGGGTGGTGGATCTAGAGAGGCAAGCTTTTTAGCTCACTACAAGACAGAACTTCCTGTGGATCAAAACTATCCAAAGAGAGTAAGATGCATCACAAATGAATGAGGCTCTGATAATCACTTAAAGTACAGGTGCAGTGACCATCTGTCATCATACTGGAAAGAAGATGAGTTACTTCCTTGTTTGACATTGTATCATTCTAAAGGAAAACAATTCTCTTTTGATGGTGGAGGGGCATCAAGTGGCACCGGGAATATAACTCTTTTCCGTAGGGTAAAAGCAGGCTGGGGCATCTGTTTTATTTTTCCTTTCACATCAGCCTGTTGACTCACCTCATCATTGACTACTGTTAGGATGGTTAAGATGTCTTCTTTTCTGTAGCCGGAAAGGGGAGGAAAAAGCATTAATGAGAAGGCAGAGAGCACATATGAGGTTTTCCAAAGGAAAAGCATTGTGTTGTAATAGAAAGAATGATGAACCTTGGGTCAGGGGAGACCTGGGTTCCAATCTTGACTGGGACACTTACTATGTGAGCCTGGGGAAGTCACTTCATTGAGGTTCAGTTTTCCTATCTATAAAATGGAGATGCCCATAGTATCCAAATCACAGAGTTGTCATGAGGCTCAAGTTAGACAATCTATGTAAAGTGCTTTGCAAACCTTAAAGGATATATAAATATCATCTATTAGTGATATGAAAGATGACACGATATAGTAGATAGAACTCTGAGCCTTAGAACCAGAAAGAGCTAGGTTCCGATCCCACCTATGACTCAGCCTGACTTTGTGACACTGAGTAAATGATGTAACCTCTCATTGCACCAAGCAAGTCTCCAAAGACTGCAAGATGTATTCTGCACCAGGAGAGAGAGCTATATTGAGAGAAGGAATTTCTTCCCTCCTCAACAACAGTCTGTGAACAAACACCAATGGGGCCACAAGTCTGGGGCAGAAAATTATTAACACATGAGACTTATAGTTTCAATGAGTATGTGGGCACCTGATACCGCATGAATCATTATTGCATTAAGTTTTCTTTTGGGGGTGGTGGAGTTGGAAATAGGTAGGGATTTTATTTTTAAGCCAGACCTGTGATTTCAGAAATATATGGAATACCTAGTGAAGAAATCCCTCTACCAATACAGTCAGCACCTTAAAGAGTACTACAAAGTTGTCTGGAGCAGAGGTTGACCACCTATGACTAGAGGGCCACATCTGGCCCACTGCTTGTTTTTGTTCCATGAGAAAGCTTCCTGGCCTGTGAAGACAGGCAGCAGGCAGACTGAGGCTAAGCAATTTGGCCAGGGTTACATGGCTAGTAGGTGTCAGGGACAGAACCTGAAACTCAGTTCTTTCTGACTCTGAAGTCAGCTCCCTGACCACTACACTATGCCACCTCATAATAATGCCTCACACATAATTTTAACTTACCTTCCATTAATTCATCTAACAAATGTACTGAGCACCTATGGGAGGGGCACCACTGAGCACCCAGGGGATACAAGAGTGAATCTGATACCATCCTTGCCCTCAAGAGTATATTTAGTGGGGGTAAATAGGACATCATCATCATCATACTCCTCATAGCTTTTGTGCCAGGCACTGGGCTATATATTTTACAAATACTACCACATTTGATCCTCACAATGACCCTGGGAGGTAGATGCTATTATTATCCTCATTTTACAGAGGAGGAACTGAGATAAACCAAGGTTAAGTGACTTGCCCAGGGACAAAGCTAGTGAGTGTCTGAGGCTGGATTTGAACTCAGGTCTTCCTGCCTCCAGACCCAGCAGTCTAAGATCACTATAATGCCACACAGATGGAGTTAAGTTTGATTAGCAAAGTGCAAAAAATGACACTTACTAGCTGTGTGACCCTGGGCAGGTCACTTAACCCCAATTGCCTCACCAAAAAAAAAAAAAGTGGAAAAAAGAGTGCTATGAGAATTGAGAAGAAAAGTAGTAATAAGGGGGCAGAGGAAGAGGAAGAAGGAAAGGCTTCCTGGAGGAGGTGAAGGAAGGATATGGTTTGGGTAAATTGATGGGGGATGGGAGTGGAGAATTCCAGACAGGAGAAAGAGGATAATCAAAGGCATGTGAGTGGGAAAGCATGGGATATGCTTGAGGAACTGTGAGTTTGCCTGGAGCATAAGGTCTTGAAGCCATATGTGGGTAACTGGAAGGATAGTAGGGCCATTAACAGAGTTAATTAATTAACTAATAAGTTAACTAATAGAGAAATTAGGGAAAGGAGTTGATTCAGCCAGGGAAATGAGGAGGATTGGCCATTTTAGATGTGTCATATCTAAGTATCTAGTAGGAATTGTAATTTGGAACTCAAGCAAGAATACATCATCAGGACTATAGATATAGATGAGAGAATCATCTGAATAGAGGTAGATAGTTAAAATCTTGCAAATGGCTGAGCTATCCAAGGAAGAGAATGGATAGAGAGAGGCAGCAAAGGGAGAGCCTTGGGAATACCTATGGGGGGGGCAGAAAAAGGAGCCATGACAAATATAGAGAAAGATTAGTCAGATAGGTAGGAAAACCAGGAACATGTAGAGTCTGTTAGGGAATCCAAAGCAGGAGTGATTATTAAGAAGGAAGAGATAGTCAACAGTGACATGTGTTACAGAGAAATCAAGAAAGAAGGTCTAAGTGGTGAAAAAAATGATTGGATCTGGCTTTTACAAGGCCACTGATAACCCCTGAAAGCACAGTTTCAGTAGAGTAGTCTGACAGAAATCATATTCTTAGAGTATGATACTGTGGATAGGATTACCCCCATTTTATGGATTTGGAAAGTGAGACACCCAGAGACTGTGACTTAAGACCATATAACTTGACAAGAACAGACTCCTGGTCTCCCAGTTCCGTTTCCTCCGGAGTTCTTTGTATTGCCACAGGTATCTCTACTGTTGCATAACTCAGATTTAGCTTTTTACAGGGATATTTGTGCAGCAGAGGCTATTTACTATTCTCTTCCTGGTCACAGACATGAATGAATATTCTCATGTATCACTCTAGGCAAAAGTCGTATGCTTTATAAACTTTCTATCAGTCATTCAAACAATAAGCATTAATTAATTGCCTATTATGTTGCCAGGCACTGGGCTGGGGGCCAGAGCTACTAAGATAACATAAAATAGTCACTGCCCACAAGAATCTTCCATTCTATAATGGGAATACAGCACATATTAAGCAGTCACGGCCAGCAAAAGAGCTCTTTGGTCTAGGCCACGGGATCATGACCTTTTTTGTACTATGGATCCCTTTGGCAATCTAGTTAAACCTATAGACTGCTTCTCACAAGAATGTTTTGCTGCCTACATTCACAGTTGAAGGAAAAGCTGAATTTCAATTAGAGGTTAGGGAAAATAAAGATATAATTTTTCCCCATCCACAAAATCCTTGATAAAAACCCCTCACCTAGTTGGTCACAGGGATTATGAATAATAATAATAATAATATATTTATATAGTTCTTTAAGGTTTGCAAAGAGCTTGACAAAATATTATTTTGTGTTATCCTCACAACAATCTTATAGAATTAGATGCTATTATTATCCTCATTTTCCAGATAACAAACTGAGAAAGGAGGATATGGAGTGACTTGTCCAGGGTCACTATGGGTAATAAGGGCCTGAGGCAGGATTTGAGCTTAGGTCCGGCACTCTATCGACTGTGCCTCCTACCTGCCTCTAGAGCCAGAGTTTTACCTAGAACCGCAGGGCAATAGATTGTCACAGCCTTTCCAGTAGCAATGGCAATAATGATTTGATCATTAATCTTATGGGTGCTTATTCATTACCCATCATCTCTAGGTTACCCATTATTCTCAACCCAGAACAACCACTAATGTAACCAAGCAGCCCAGAGAGAGTACCTTGGGACCAAGCGTTTCAGTTGGTGGCAGAGGGCTTGAATATACCAGGAACCTTTCATTCTATTTCGAATGGCACAACAACCATCGACGGTGGCCAACCCAAGGAGGAAATCTGCTTCCGTCGGGATGCACCTCTGAGGGATTTTCTTGGGGGCAGGAGGTGAGATGCTGGCGTTTCTAGCATCCGCTTCAAGAGGCACGCCTTCTTGTATTTCCATGCCTTGACAGGCTTGGAGGAAAAAGAGCTTGGGTTTGTCCATCAGGCCTGGGCATTGGTGGGCCATGAAGTAGGATGTGAGGTCATGGATGGCTATGCTCTTTTCATCTGAGGAGAACACAGAACCAGACTCCCCATGGGTAAGGACACAGCATACAAAGCAGTCGCTGTCTTTGTGCTCTGGGTTGGTTCTACACTGGGTCAGAATCCTTTCCATTTCGTCTTTTGTTGTATTGTCATGAATTGTCACTGTGAATCCAAGCCACTTGAAAACACTCCTCAGTTCAACTGTTAAAAGATTTTTAGCAAAATTCCAGAGTGAATCCCCCTGAAGCACTGAATTTTCTTTTTTTTTAATTGTATTAATTTATTTTGATTTATCAACAATCACTTCCATACGCTTTTGAGTTGAAAATTTTTCTCCCCCTTCCTCCCCCCCACCCTCCCCAAAACGGCACACAATCTGATATAGGCTTTACATTTACATACCCATTAAACATATTTTCACATTAGTGAAGTCGTAAGTAAAAATTAAAACCAATAGGAGGAACCATCAGAAACAGGAAACAAAACTCAACAGAGGGTAAAAGTAAGTGATAGCAATTCGATTCGATGAAGCACTGAATTTTCACTCTTTATATGTACTGATAGAATCCCCACTCCCACCCAAGGGGATGGATAGAACACTGGGCTTAGAGTCAGGAAGATGTGGGTGCTAATAATAACTTATAGAGTGGCTACTTTGTGCCAAGCACTGTGTTAAGTACTTTACAAATATGATCTCATCCAATCCTCACATCAGCCCTGGGAGATAGGTGCTGTTATTATTAGCCACATTTTACAGTAGAGGAAGCTGAAGAAAACAGTGGTTAAACGATTTGCTTGAGGTCCCATAGCTTGTAAGTATCTGAGGCCCAATTTGAACCCAGGTCTTCCTGACTCCAGGCCCGACGTCTATCTATTGCACAACCTAGCTGCCCCTCTCCTTTTTACTGCCCCACTAGCATTTCATAGATTAGAGCTATAAAAGAAGCCCAGAGGATTCAGTGACTTTCTCAGGTTCACATTTAGCTGAAAAGCTTTGGGAGGCATCATGGCATCATGCTGATAGAGTGTCAGACTTAGAGTCAGAAAAGCAGGGTTCCAACCTTACCTCAGATACTTAATGAGTTGTGACCATGGGGAAGCCACCTTAAATTTATCAATCCTCAATTTCCAGCTCTGTAAAATAGGCATCACAGTGCCTGTCTCTTAAAAGTTGTGGTGAGGCCCAAACGAGGTGATGTAGGTGCAAATTTTAAAGTAATGTATAAATACCAGTCATTATTACAAAATACGGGGGTAGCTAAGTGGCAAGGTGGATAGAGCACTGGCCCTGGAGTCAGGAGGACCTGAGTTCAAATCCAGCCTCAGACACTTGACTCTTACTAGCTGTGTGACCCTGGGCAAGTCGATTAACCCCAGAAAGAAAATGTGGAACATAGAAGGTAATTTCCTTGAGAACAAGGATGGTTTTGATTTTTAAAAATTCTGTATCCCTTTTTTAATCACAGTGCCTGGCATATAGCAGACCTGTATATTGAATGGAATTGTTGAAATTAAACAAACAAACAAAAACAAACCCTTTTTGAAATCCATTGGCTTCCATTTGATCAACACCACCCAAATTCCTTACCTGCATCTTTACAACTTCCTTCCCTGAAGTTCATGGTCTGAAATTGAAAGTTGTTGAAAATGAGGCAGAGTCCTCTGTGTCTATGACCCATCATATATTGTTCTGTCTCCTCGGGAGAAAAAACAAAGCAAAGCATTACAGAAATCCACACTCCCATTAAAGGTACCATCATATGGTTCCTAAACATCCACCCCTGTGGTTCATACACCTTTGTGGGGAAAGGGAAACCAGGACAAAAGAGAAGGAGGGGGAGGGCAGCAGTTCCCCGTCACAATTTTAAAATTTCCTTAGCCCAAGCCTCTGACCAAATCATGGCTGTTAGGTTTCTAAGACCTAATAAGGATGACTGGAGATTAAGAGAGTTCTTTACAGTCTATCCTAATGATAAAATGTTACCAGGTCACCTAAAAATGATTTTAAAGCACCTCAGGACAGGGTTTTTAACCAGGGCTCTGTGAACTTGATTTGTTGGGGGTTTTTTAAACATTTTGATCACTATATTTCAATATAAATGGTTTCCTTTGTAATTCAATGCATTTTGTTTTAATCACTGAAAACTATTATTCTGAGGAGTCCATAGATTCCACCAGACTGCCAAAAAGGTCCATGGTACAAACAAGGTTAAGAACCATTGCCTTGAGACCTAGAATCCTGAATGATAAGAATTCAGTTTTACTAAATGTCACTTCCACTTTCTCTTGGCAATTTCAAATTTTACAGGGTACTCCTTCCCTTCTTCTGTACTTGAAAAATCCTGTGATTTCATCTGGGGGCACTACTTACCCTGGTCAAGGTCAAGGGGTCCCTTGACTCCCCCGTATATTGAAACAAAAAATGTAATGGTCAGTTCTTTTAGAGATATAAAACTTCCCCCTAAGAACTACTTTCACTGCATCCCATAAGTTTTGGTATGTTGTCTCATTATTGTCATTCTCTTGAATGAAGTTATTGATTGTTTCTTTGATTCTTTGTTTAACCCAATCATTTTTTAGGATTAGATTATTTAGTTTCCAATTATTGTTTAGTCTATCTTTCCATGAATGCTCAGTTCAAAATCAGAGAGTATAAATAGTCCAGAGAGCTGGAGGAATTCTTTATAAATGTAATGGTGGTCTGACCATTTGCAAAGTACCGCAGATGGAGAAGGCTAGGAAGCCTGACTCCTAAAGAATCATAATGATTCACTTACTTCCTTATCCAGCCCCACAATGGAGAGACAGAGAGGGTCCTATAACTCTTTTCCTCAAAGCGGGAAAGGTCCCATGTACATCAAAATATTTGTAGCAACATTTTTTTTTACAGTAAAAGATTAAAACAAAATGAGTGCTCCCTCTGTGTAAATTAATTTAAATTGTTAAAAGAAATAGTAAAAGAGGGCAGCTAGGTGGCACAGTGGATAAAGCACCAGCCCTGGAGTCAAGAAGACCTGAGTTCAAATTCAACCTCAGACACTTACTAGCTGTGTGACCACTCGGCAAGTCACTTAACCCTGATTGCTTCAAAAAAAGAAAGAAGGAAAGAAAGAGGAAAGGGCCAAGTTCATGCTTCTACCCCCTGATATTATATGGTAGGTCATTAGCTCCAGGGGTCACATTTGTGACCCTCTGTCCTCTTACAAGTGGCACTTCCCAGTAATTCCTCCTCCTCTCTCTAGAAGGTCAGGTTCTAAGATCCTCTCCTCTCTATGGGAAGGTAGAGCTACCCCATTTCTCATTAGAAAAGCAGATGTCCGAACCCTCAAGCATGGGTTTGCTGAACAAGCAAACCACCAGTTAGTACAGTTAGTACAGAAATCCCCCTTCTCTCTCCAGGAGGCTCCCGTTACTTGCCCGCATTTCCCATCTCCTAGTATCCCGTGATTAGGAGCATGTGCCTTTGCAACATGTGTTGACTGCTGCTTCTCCAAGTGACTCACTTCACTAGATCTATAAAATTCAGAATGCACAAATGTATTGAATTAAAGTGGTCATGTATATAGCTCACTAGAGTAAAAGTATAATATAGCATATATACTATGATATAGTCTAACATGACATAACCTAACCTAATATAGAATAATATATTATATTATAGTCATAATATAGCTATATGAGGTAAATAAGTAAGAGATGAAATATCAGTAAGATTACTGCCCTTAAAATCACAGGGCCTCTTGAGTGACCTTGAGTAAGGTCACTTAAATTCCAGGCCAGGAATTTTTCAGGAGCATTGACTGAGATTCTAAGGGGCAAGCTTCCAATCTCTCCCTGAACCACTGGTTTCCTTCTTTTGAGTTGGACGCCAATCTTAATAGAGTCCCATGTAGGGGCAGCTAGGTGGTACAGTAGATAGAGCTTTGGTGTTGGAGTCAGGAGGACCTGAGTTCAGATAGGGTTTCAGACACTTGACACTTACTAGCTGTGTGACCCTGGGTAAGTCACTTAACCCCGATTGCCTCACCAAAAAAAAAAAGAGTGGCATTTGCCCACAAGGTCTGGCCTCACTCTCATTGCAGTCTCCTTTTCTGGGCCTGTTGTCCCTATGCCTCTGCTGCAGCCAATAGATCATCCATGGCCTGGGGAAGGAAAAGTTAAATTGATCTGGCCCACCTGTCCTTGCTCCTGGGCAGGGCTGGAGGACAGCATGAGAGAACGGGCATGACTCAGACAATAGTGCCAGGAGCAGAGATGAGAACATGTCTGTAATACAGAGCTACAGTCCAAGAGACACGCATCCGCAGATTTTCCAAGAAAAAGAATCACGGGCTGATCATTCAGGCGTGGCAGTGAGTTCAGTATCAGGTCAACAGATGATGTAATAATAATAATAGCTAACATTTATATAGCACCTACTATATGCCAGGGACTGTGCTAAGCACATCGCTATTCCTAACTCATCTGACCCTTATAACAACCCTAAGGTAGATACTATTATTATCCCCATGTTATAGATGAGGAAACTGAATCATGCAGTGGCCAAGTGACTTGCCCAGGATCACACAGCTAAGTGTCAGGGGCTGGATTTGAACTCGGGTTTTCCTGATTCCAGGCCCAGCACTCTGTCCACTATGCCACCTAACTGCCCTGAGACAGCCAAGAAGGACTGTAGTTCAGCGGCACCTAGGGAATACAGCAACAGACTGATAACTCGGTCATGCCAGTGATGTCAGAAAGAGCTCAAGACAGCAGGTTTCATCCGGAAGGGAAGGACTTCAGTAAGAAGCTAATCTAAACACCAGCTCACAGGCCAGGCTTGCTGAGTGCCCTCATCTAAGAAGCAATTCTTTTCATTCTGCTTGCTGAAGTGGGGGGTTCTCGCTCCTTGAAGACGGAGAGCCCAGCTTGGTCTGTACCTACCCTTTTTGTTGATTTGTTTGTTTGTTGAACTAGATTCATTTTTGATGCATAAGAAACAAGCAAGGTGACTTAGGTAAAAAAAAATGTGGATGGGGTAGCAACTCCTTCCCATCCTGGAAAACATAATTCTCACTGGGCTTTTAAAGCGCTGGCCCTTCCTGACTCCCCAGTCTTCTTACACTAGGTAACTAGTGGTGCAGTGGATAGAGCCTTGGGCCTGGAGTCAGGAAGGCTCATTTTCCTGAGTTCAAATCTGTCTTCAGACACTTACTAGCTGTGTGACCCTAGGCAAGTCACTTAACCCTGTTTGCCTCAGTTTCCTCATCTGTAAAATGAGCTGGAGAAGGAAATGGAAAACTACTCCAGTATCTTTGCCAAGAAAATCCCAAAATGGGGTCATAAAGAGTCAGACATGACTGAACACTTGATTCCCCTCTGCGTACTCTCAAAATCCAGCAACACTGGCTTCCTCGCTGTTCCTCAGCCCATGTCCCAACTCTGTATATTTTCACTGGCTGCCCCCCACACCTGGAATGCTCTTCCTCCTTATCTTGAACTCCTGGCTTCCTTGGTTTTTTTTTTCAAGTCTCAACTGAAATCCCACATTCTGCAAGAAGCTTTCCCAAACCCCCTTAATGCTAATACCTTCCCTCTGAAATTATTGCCAATTTACCACCTATACCTTATTTGTACATAGCTGCGTGCATGTTTCCCTCATTATATTATGAGTCCCTTGAGGACACCTTTGCCTTTATTTGTATGCCCTTACACTTAGCACAGTGCTTGGCACATAGGAGGCACTTAATCAATGCTTGGTGACTTGCCAAGGAAGACAGCCCATGTCCTCCTGAAGGTTCAATGCTATCAAAGACAATCAGCATCTTTTCCTCATTCATTTCAGAAGAGAGATGGGAAAGTTAGAATTAGTTCATGAGTTGAAAACGTAAGAGAATGCATGCACAAATCAGTATCGAGACCTCAGAATCATTGAAAAGCATTCTGACCTCAGAAAAGTATTTAAGAAAATATTCAAACCTCTGTGTTCTCTTTAGCAAATGCCTCCCACAAGCTCTCAGCAGTACCTGATGCAACACTTAACTTTTTCTCCTCTAGAAAGCAAAGAATACAAATTTGTGAGTCTTTAATTACTTTTTCCTGAATGGCACTAAATGTATGTTCTACATGAAATGCTTCAATTCCCCTATTGGCTTTTGGGCTTGGTGTCTGGTGAGGCAGGTAGGTGGCACCATAGTGCACAGAGCATTAGGCCCTGGAGTCAGGAAGACCTGAGTTCAAATTCAGTTTCAGACTCTTACTAGCTGTGTGACACTGGGAAAGTCACTTAACCTTTGTTTGACTCAGTTTCCTGAATTTAAAATGAGGATAATAATAGCACCTCCTCTCAACAAGGGCTGTTGTGAGGATAAAATGGGTAATATTTATTAAACCCTTTGAAAACCTTAAAGCATAATTACTTTGTTGTTCAATCATTTCAGTTGTGTCCGACTCTTTGTGACCACATTTGGGGTTTTCTTTGCAAAGTTACTGGAGTGGGTTGTCATTTCTTTCTCCAGCTTATTTTACAGATGAAGGAAACTGAAGCAAACAGGTTTGAGTGACTTGCCCAGGGTCACACAGCTAGTAAGTGTTTGAGACCAGATCTGAACTCAGGAAGATGAGTCTTCCTGACTCTAGATCTGGGACTGCACCACCTATTTGCCCTACTAGCTATTATTATTATTTTAATTATTTAATAAGAATTTGCTTAGGACATATTATGCTTCATGCATATAAAGTTTTATAATTAAGAATAATTTTTTTCTATACAGGCAACCTCAGACACTTTACAGCAATAAAATCAGGACTCTTACAATATAGCAGGTACTCCGCACCCAGATAGAGGAGACAAGTGCCAAGTATACCCCTTTTATCACAACTAGCATTAGAAATAAATATTACTACCATAGCCATTATCAGACATTTTTTGCCCACAGGAAGAGCGGCATAAAATACATTTGATAACTTCTTATTAAATTATTCTAAATAATTTTTTAACTAATAATAAATAGGTATTAAATGCAGTTATTTCTATATATTCTGAAGAAGCAGAGGTTATCATCAGCATCCTGGAACAAAACCCTGATCACTCAGCCCTCTTAATGGATTTGATCATTATGACAAGTCAGACAATGCATTCAACTAGATATAGGGCCCTAGAATTCAAAATATAGTCTGCTCTAATGGGTAGCCAGCTGTTTCAGAGTCTACACTTACTCCTTATCTGACACAAAGGATCAATGAGGAAAGGAATGGGGAAGGCAGGACAAAAGAGGGGGAGTGGAAGGATGAAAGGTGGAAGGGTAAAGAGGGGAGGTAGAGGGAGGTCAAGATGGCTTAATTATAAGAAACAGAACAGCGAGCTCCCCTCCACAAAATTCTTCCGAACACATCTAGAAAATGCACCAGCCTGAATCTTGATGGGGAAATCCAGAAAACCTCACAGGGAGCGTTTTGTCCTGTCCAGGTTAACATAAGGAGACAAAAGGGGAGGTCTTTGCACACTGGGGATGAGCAGGATCAGGCTGGTTCGGGAACACACAAGTCCAGGGAGAGGTTGCACACCAAGAAGACTTCTAACACTCAAACTGGGGCTCCACCGGTCCCATTCTGGGGCACGATGACTGGGACAGATGCAAATTAGGAGCTTGTTGCCCACTACCTGGTTCAAAGGAGGCAGCTAGGTGACCCAATGGATAGAACACTGTGCCTGGAGTCAGGAAGACCTGACTTAAAATATGGCCTAAGAAACTTACTAGCTCTGTGACTATGGGCAAATCACTTAACCTCTGTTTTCCTTAATCCACTATAGAAGGAAATAGCAATGTACTCTAGTATCTCTGCCAAGAAAACCCCATGGATACTAGCTGTGTGACCCTGAGCAAGTCACTTAATCCTGACCGCCTCCAAAAAAGAAAAAGAAAACCCAGCAGATGAAGAATAAGCCATCCCTGAACAACAACAACCCAGGTCAAGTCATAGCTCCAGAACAGACTGAGAAGGGGCCCTGACTAACCATGGGGGGTGGGGGTTGAGAGTCAGTGGTGACCTTTGGGGTAGAGAGGCCCTGGGCCATATATAGAGAAAGGAGGAAGTTCAGAAGCCAGCAGCTGCAGCAGCAGCCTCCACCATAGCGTGACTCAGACCTCAGGCTCGAAGCAGGGTTTTCACTTCCAGCATTCAGACTGACCAGCCTGAAGCAGAATAGCCAGGGCAGGAATCCCAGACCAAAAGGGAGTCTACAATCTGCCACACAGAACCAGCGGAGTTTTTCAGTGGATGGATAGGGTCAGTCTGGCAGCATGGTGGCCAGAACCAAACCCAGGTCAGGAGCTGCAGAGCTCAAACCAAGTGGACGACAATCAGACTTTGCCTAGGATCAGATCACTTTGGGAGCGCTGAAAGAGTGCAGGTCACCAGCTTACTCCTCATATCCGGAATAACACAAATACCTTAAGAAAGCAGCAACAAGACCAGCACAGACCTTCCCTCCAGAACTGCCCCAGAGCCCAGCCCTAGCCAAGTCCAAAGTCAAGAAATAAGCTGGGGGCAGCTAGGTGGCTCAGTGGATAGAGCACCGGCCCTGGAGGAGGACCTGAGTTCAAATCCAGCCTCAGACACGTAACACTTACTAGCTGTGTGACCCTGGACAAGTCACTTAACCCCATTGCCTAGCTAAAAAAAAGAAAAAGAAAAAAGAAAAGAAATGAGCTGGAAGAATGGCAAACAAATAAAGAACCCTACCAGAATCATCATTGCTAGCATGTATATCATGCTTACTACATGCCAGGAACTGTGCTAAGTGCTTTATAAATATTATTTCAATTGTTCCTCACAAAAGCCCTGGAAAAAGTAGATGCTATTATTATCCCCATTTTACAGTTAAGAAAACAAAAGCAAAGAAAGTTTAAGTGACTTTCCCAAGGTTACACAGTTAGTAGGTGTCTAGGGCAAATTTGAACTCAGGTCTTCCTAATACAAAGCCCAATGCTTTAGCCAGTGAGCCCTCCAAAAAGAGCTATTATGATGTCAGGGAACCTCAAGACACAAATCCAGAAGAAAAGAATGACTCCAAAACATCTACAAGCTAGGGGCAAAGCCTCTGAGAAAAGCATAGCTTGGCCACAAAATCATAATGCCTGGAAGAGATGAACAAAAGTTCAAAAAAAGTTTTAGAATGTTTTTATAAACATTTAAATGAGAGGGATTGAAGGGAAAATGGGGTGGGGGGAGTATGAGAGAAAGAACTGAAAAGGGAATTAACAGCTTGGCATGAGAGGTACAAAACTTTGCTCCCTGAAAATGTGAATGGACCAAATAGAAGCCAATGACCCCATCAGGCAACAAGAAATATTAAAGTCAAAGACTGGCACAATAGAAGAAAATTAAGGCATCTCATAGTAAAAATGATTTAGAGAACAGATCAAGGAGGAAAAAAATGTAAGAATTATTGGATATTGGAATTTTAAGAAATCTTTTTAAATATTTTATTTTAAGAAATCTTAAAAGAAAACTGCCCAGATCTCTTAGACCTAAAGGACAAATAGTAGAAATAAAAAGATGCCACTGGTCACTTCCTGAAAGAAATCCCAAATGAAAACTCCCAGCAGCAATATAGTCAAAATCAAGAGTTTCCAGATCAACTCAAAATACTGTAAGGAGCCAAAAAAAGAGAAGAATTCAAGTACTGAGGAGTCACAGTCAGGATCACACAAGATTTAGTAGCCACCATTAGAAAGAAATGGAGAGCTTAGAATATGGATATTCTTGGAATGTGATATTCTAGAAGTCTAAGGATATTGGCTTACAACCAATAACTTACCAAGTAAAACTCAGTGTAGTACTACAGAGAGAAAAGTGGATTCTTTTTAATGAAATAGAGGATTTCCAAGCATTCTTAATGAAAAGAACAGAGCTTCATAGAGAACTTTAAAGTTCAAACACAGAATTTAAGAGAAACGTAAAAGGGTAAACATAACTGCACAATGATAAAGGACTAAATGAGAACTATTTATATTCAAATATGGGAATATGTTACATGTCCCTTCTGAAACCTAACATCATCAGGAGTAATAGAGGAAGTCCAATTAGACAAGGCCTGGCAGGAATCCTGTTATGTCTCAATAATCTTAGGAAAAGAATGGAAAGAGGGGGCAGGTAGGTGGCACAATGGATAGAGTACTGGCCCTGGAGTCAGGAGAACCTGAATTCAAATCCGACCCCAGATACTTACCAGCTGTGCGACTCTGGGCAAGTCACTTACCTTCAACTGCCTCCTCCCCCCACCCCCACCCCCAACCCCACCCCTGCTAAAAAAGAAAAGAATGGAAAGCGATGGGATGAGGAATACACTGGGAAGGATGGATAGAGGAGAGGGAAAGGAAGGTTAGGGAAAATTGTCTCACATAATCAGGATACACAAGTAGATATCCATGCAAATGAGGAGGAGGGAGTAGAGGAGAGAAGCTAACACTTAAACAATGCTTTCATCTGAACTGGTCAAAAAAGGGAAGAATATAATATTTAAAATAATGTAAGAATACACTCAGAGAACTGGATACAGAAATACATTTCACTCAACAGAAAAACAGGAGGGAAAAGGGAAGAGGAAAGGAGGGGGAATTAGAGGCAGAGTAAATTAAGGAAGGAATTAATCCTAAGCAAAACAAATTCTACGTATAAAAATATTTATAGCTCTTTTTGAAGCAGCAAAGAATAGGAATCTGGGGGGTGGAGTGTTGCCCATAAACTGGGGAATCAATGAATAAGCTATGGCATCTAAATGTAATGGAATAATACTGTGCTGAAATCTTATCAGTGATTTCAGAGGACTAATGATGAAACATGTTACCCAGCTTCTGACAGAGAGGTAAGGGACTCAGAATGCAGAATGCTACTTTTTTTTTTTTAACACAGTCAATATACAGTTATTTTGATGGACAATATGTGTATGTAATGTTCTCAATTAGCAGAAAGAGTTGGGGCAGGAGGGTGAAAAGGTGGATTTTGGCTAATTAGAACAAAATTTTTTTTTAAAGTGGAAAAAAATTTTAGAAGAGTCAATACTAGAATAGTTAATGGAATAATGGGGTGAGGGGAAGGAGTCAGAGGCCACAACTTAAAAAAGAAAATTTTAATTTAAAAAAAATCCTCCCTAGTTCAGAATTAAACTTAGCTTAGTTAAGGGACCTTGTGCCTTTGACAAGGGTTGTTCTGGTACATGCCCCTCCAACGGATTCTCAGACTCCTCTGGAAAAGAACATAGAAAAGAAATCAAATGCTTATTTCCATCAAATGAGAGTAACATAAAACTGTTATTTAGAGCTTCTGCTAAGTTTTAGCTATCTAGTTTGTAGCTTTAACCAGCTGTATCTCATGTGTTCAGAACTTTTTTCTCCTCCTTCAGTAAAATTAACCATTCTGCTGACACATATTTCTAGCAGAATTATCTTTATTTCTCCCACAACACAATGCTTTACACAAAGTAGGAGTTTATGGCATGAATGATAATTTAATGAATGAATGAGTAAACAAATGAAAATAATAGTTTTGTACATGCATGGCCTCAGAATGCTACAAATACCACCACTACTGACTTCCTCATTCTTCCCTTTCTCCTCTCTGAAGATAGCAAACCTTTCAAAGAATGATGAAGGAGAAGCTATGAGTTCATTTAGATTATCCATCTGGCTGATTAATAATGGAATCAGTACTGTGGTGGGAAGAACAGGGTAATGGGGGGCATGAGCTACAGCACTAGAAAAGATGCCCCAGCCCCAGCCCTAAGGAGACATAATAGTCACATTCTAGGGGCCCAATTTGTCAGTCTGAGTGGTAATGGGGATAAGCACCTTAGCATATGTGTTACATACCAATTAAGCATTACATTCACAGGATCAGAGATTTTAAACAGGAAAAAACCCTAGGGGTCAGGAAGTACAACCTCCTCAATTTACAGATGGAGAAACTGAGGCCCAGGTACATGACATGGTTTGCCCAGGGTCACAAAGAGTGTGTATGTTTGAGGGAGGATTAAATCCAGGCCAGAGTACAGGCTCTTTGGATATAGATGCTGACCTATGTTTTCCACACTTCTTCTCCTCCTAGGTTATTTCAAAGGGTGTTAACCAAGTTTTTTAGATGAGACTTACAATTCATTTGACTTTTAATTTGAGAGTTTGACACCACCCTTATTTGGTTTACTAAAAGATTAAAATATTTTGGGTGGAGGGTAAAAGCTTTCAGATGTTAAATTTCTGATGATTCTTCTTCCCTCTCCCTCTCTCCTTCCCTGTTTTGGAGAAAGGAACTCAGAGGAAAACAATTTTGTGGCAAGTGCCAAAGGCATATTTTTATTCTTGGTCATGTTATCTAATTGTGCTGCAATAGCAGGAAATAAAGTTGTACAGTTAGTCAAGGTAGAACTCCCCACTAGAAAAGATAGTTTGGGAGGAAGTGAATCTGAGGTCCATGTAGGTAGAAATCAAGAAAACTGGAGACTGAATTTGGAATTGTGGGGGGTCCCCTAAGTTCAATCAATAATCAACCAGCATTAATTAAATAGCTAGTATGGACCAGATACAGTATTGCCACTCCCTATTCACGTATCCTCTGGCACTTCATTTCTCGCACCTCAATTTTCTCAACTATAAAATTCCTCTTAAGTTCTGTGACCCTCTTCATAAAACCAACTCTTAGTTTTATTTATTAATTCAATGGGGTTTTTTACTCTTAATTTTATTAATCTCATCTTTAATTTTTAAGATTTGCAGTTTAACCCACACGTACAAAAATATTTATTTTTGTGGTGGCAAAGAATTAGAAGTTGAGAGGATGCCCATCAATTGGGGAATGGCTGAACAAGCTGTGGTATATGAATATAATGGAATACTATCATGCTATAAGAAATAATGAGCAAGCAGACTTCAGAAGAACCTGGAAAGACTTGTGTGGTCTAATGTTGAACGAAGTGAGCAGAGCCAAGAGAACATTGTACACAATAACAGCCACGTTGTGAGGTGACTAATATTGATAATATTGACCTTCCCAGCAATGCAAGGATCTAAGACATCTCCAAAGGCCTAGTAATAGAAAATGCTATCCACATCCAAAGAAAGAACTTGGACGTTTGAATGCAGATCGAAGCATACTATTTGCTATTTTTTTTTCTTCTGTTGAGTTTTGTTTCCTCTTTCTGGTGGTTCCTCCTATTGGTTCTAATTCTTACTTACAACATCACTAATGTGAAAATATGTTTAATAGTAATGTATATGTATAGCCTATATCAGATTGTGTGCTATCTTGGGGAGGGTGGTGGGGAGGAAGGAGGAGAAAAATTTTAAACTCAAAAGCATATGGAAGTGATTGTCGATAAAATAAATTAATAAAAAAAATTGGAACTCAAAAAAAAAGATTTGCAGTTTAGTGTTTAATTGGGGATTTTTAATTTGTCCTCTTTCGAGTTTTTTTAGTTGCATACCAAATTCATTAGTCTGCTCTTTCTCTATTTTATTGATGTAAGCATTAGAGATATAAATTTTCCTCTAATCATTGCTTTTGCTGTATCCCATAGGTTTTGATATGTTGTCTCATTATTGCCATTCTCTTTAATGAATTATTGATTGTTTTTATGATTTGTTTGTTTTTCCTTTTTGCTAGGGAATGGGGTTAAATGACTTGCCCAGGGTCACACAACTAGTGTCAAATGTCTGAGGCTGGATTTGAACTCAGGTCCTCCTGATTCCAGGACCACTGCACCACCTAGCTTCCCTCTATGATTTGTTTTTTTAACCCACTCATTGTTTAAGATTAGGTTGTTTAATTTCCAATTGGTTTTTAATCTGTTTCCTTGGTCCCTTATTAAATATAATTTTATTGTGTTATGATCAAAAAAATACTTTTAATATTTCTGCTTTTAATTACGAAGTTTTTGTGTACATTATATGGTCAGTCTTTGTAAAGGTACCATGAACCACTGAGGAAAAAGGTGCATTCCTTTCTATTTCCATCCAATTCTCTCCATGTATCTATCATATCTAGTTTGTCTAAAATTCTGTTCACTTCCTTAACTTCTTTCTTACTTATTTTTTGGTTAGATTTATCCAGTTCTGAGGGGAAGATTTAAGTCCCCTATTATTATAGTACTACTATTTCCACCTGTAATTCACTCTACTTTTTAATAAATTTCAACAATCATTTCTATTATAAAACACTAGAAAGCATAGAAATAAATGCATTTTCCTTATATTGATAAAAAGCATTAATCTAAAGCTATCAGCAAGCATTATTTGTGAGGATAAACTAGAAGCCTTCCCAGTAAGATCAAGTGTGAAATGACGATGCCCACTGTCACCAATATGATTCAATATTGTACTGAAAATCCTAGCAATAGTAACAAGAGAAGTTCTATGACCTTCTGAATACAAAAGTCTTGGTTCCCAGGTTACCTACAATGCAGCATAAAATATCACCCACAACACCGCTCACTACTTAGAATACACCCATGTTCTGATACAAGCTCAAATGTAAGTGACTTACTTTTTTCATTTTTGTATTGGCTGATTCTTTTTGTAAGATTGCTTGACAAAGGCTGGCATACTTTCACCAGCATCTCCAGATTATTCTCACTTAAAAGTTCTTGTTTCTCCATATGTCTCAAAAGACTTAAAAAGGACTGAAACAGAATCAACATTAGTATATGGACTGACATCATGGTCTGTCTTTATCTTGGCTATTTTGTTCACAAGCATGTGGGGAAAAGGGATGGGGAAGTGGCTCACAACTATGCTAAGAATTTTTTAGTCATGCTTCCCAGGCACACCGTGAGGCAAACAGGAAAAGCAGAATGGGAGAGGATGGCAGAAGGTAGGCAGAAGGTTGAAGTAGTGGGGACTATAGCAAGTGTTAGCACAATCAGGGAGGCCATGTAGCTCACCTGAGTGAATGCTGCTGTCTTTGCCACTCTGACACTATACATAGACAGCAGATGAAAACAAGGAGAGCTAAAACCTCTGGGCTGGTTTTATTTTTTTTAGGCTGGCTTATACATTACATTGCTGTTTGCAGAGCAAGGTTTTTTTTGTTTGGGTATTTTTTGGAAAGAGGGAAAGAGAGGAAGAACGCAGGCGAGAAGCCTTTGCAGTGGAGTCCCGTGAATAGACAGCCTACACAAGTAGAAAGAGAAATGGTAAAGAGTAAGGAAAATGGTCAGTTTCCCCACTCACCGTTAATGTCTTTGGTATATCCTTATGCATGAGGAATTTGATATACTCAAAATCAAGTTGAGTGACTTCCTCGGATAGGTTGTAAAGCATGACTCTGTGACATGAATTCAATGCCATTAGTAATGAATACGCTACAGACATAACCATTTTCATTCAGTCATTTTTCAGTCATGTCCAACTCTTTGTGACCCTATTTGGAGTTTTCTTGGCAAACAGACTGGAGTGGTTTGCCATTTCCTTCCCCAGCCTATTTTACAGATGAGGAAACTGTAAACAGGGTTAAGTGACTTGCCACACAGCTAGTAAGTGTCTGAGGCCAGATTTGAACTCAGGAGGAGGTGTCTTCCTGAATCTAGGCCTGGTGCTCTATCCATGGCACCATCTAGCTGCACAGACATAACAGAGAGGAACCTAATTTGTATTTCCCTCATCCCTCTGCTAATGGGTTCAACTGATATGAGATTGAGAAAAGGCATAATCTGGATTAAAGAGCATTCAAGTGGACCTGGACTGACTTAGCACATACAAGATGCCTGAGTCGACTCCAAAGATTCTTACCTTTAATTTTCAGTACAGGGACAGCTAGGTGGCACAGTGGATAGAGCACGGGCCCTGAAGTCAGGAGGACCTGAGCTCAAATCTGGCCTCAGACCAAACACTTGACACTTACTGGCTGTGTGGACCTGGGCAAGTCACTTAACCTCAATTGCCTTAAAAAAATATATTAAATATGTGTGTGTGTGTGTGTATGTATGCATGCATATATACATACATATATATATATGTATGTATATGTAATTTTCAGTACAGGATCATCTTTATAAGTTAGTTCTCTGTAGGGAGTACAAGGGAGTACTACCAGAGAGACCATAAACTCCATGAAGGCAGAGACAGAACCTTATCACAATGCTGTATCCTTCCCCTTCCCCCTCACCCCAGGCCCATCCATGCCAGGCTAAGGGCTCTGTATACAAAAAATGTACCCGTGTAACAGTGTACCCAAATGACAATAAATGTTGGCTTAATTGACTTTCATAATTATAGTGTAGATTACTCAGGTTCTTTCAATCCAGAAAGTCGTACATGAGCAAAGCACACAACAGTGCCTGGTTTTGTGTTTAGCCTTTTGTCATAATCATAATCTTCCAGTTTGGTGGTTCAGGCAAATATGAAGGGCTGAGAAACATCACTTTCCCTGGCATATACATTATGGTACCATTTAAAATGGTGTTTGCTGAGGGATGTTCTAAGGTAGGCCTACCCTTCATCTTCCCCACTCTCCTTTGGATTTAGCTGTCAAAGAATGGATGGGAGCCTGTCAAAGCAGATGGGGTACATGAATGGTTCCTTTCCTCCCCTAATAAAAGGCTTTTTTCTCCTTTTTCTCTGTACTTTAGGTATTTATTATTCTCCCTCCAAATTCAAAAGATATAGAAACATCAGTCAGCAGTGTAGAGAATAAATCTACTAACAGTGAAGAAAGGCTAGGACACATGTTTAAGGATGGAAAATCCATTAAGTCAATTAATCAATTACCTGCCACTTTACTTAAAGTGACTGTCCTGATCCCTTCATTGGGTAAAAACAACCAATCATTAAGAGGTTTGACCTAGTGTGAACAAAGTCTAAATAACTTTATTCAATTAATTAGTCATAGGCTTTTGCACAAACTTTAAAAATCATTATTTTGAAATTTTTTGACCTCTAATTTCAATACCCTAGGGCAAAGTCCCTATTATCTTGCCTAGTTACAGCTCTGTGAATAAGTTTTCTATGGGTACCATAGGAAGGATAAGAGCTAAAAATCCAAGGTGAGTGGAAATGTAAGAAGAAATTCCCTTCAAATTAGCTCAAATCACAGAATCCTTACCTGTATGAGGAAATTTTCCCTTTGGTAGAAAGTTCTTGCAGTACTTTTTCCTTTGTGTACCCAATGTTTTGTAGTAAATAATATTGCTTAATTAGGAAGAGGAGCTCGGCCACTAGGAAACAATCTTCTTTATTCAACAAATCTTCATCCATGAACTTCTGAAACAGTTGGTGAGCTGACTTTATACCCTCAAGGGTCTTAGGTGTGATCAAGTCACTACAGAGAAACTTAAGGGACTCTATATCTTCAAGCTCCAGTTTTTCATCAATGGAGAGAAGCTTCTGGTGAAAATCAACATTATTGTCATCCTCCATATTGAGCCCAGATCTTGGCACCTATAGGCAAAATAGTGACCTTCTGAAACAGCAAAAACAAAGAAGACTTTCTGATGTAAAACTTGTCCATCTCTTGGGAGTGAGATTAAATGCAGAGGAAGCCAGGGTCAACTGAATATTCCAGTCTCCAGAATTACCAGAATTATCAAAATTGCTTTGTATTTTAATATGTGTATATATATATATATATATATATATGTTTATATGTATATAAACATATATACACACACACACACACACGTTTTACATCCCTTGTCTCACCCAATAAAATATAAGTTTTTTGTAGGCAGAAATGGATTCATCTTTAAAGAGTCTGTGTATCCCCAGCACGTAGCATAGAGTAGATACTTAATAAATACCTATTATTTGAGTCTAGTATGTTACTTGGTGGTTCTTTTAAAAAAATCAGTAAACAAAATAAAGGTTTAGTAATTTTTTTAAGTAAATAAATTACTAGCTTGCCTTGCTCTCTGTTCAGGGCACATTTCATATACCTTTCTTTCCTTGCCCACCAAAGAGAGGGAGGAGACCCCATGAGATTTTCCCATCTTCACCAAAACATTAAACAAAGCTTTGTAGCCTACTATGTGGAAAAAGCACTATGCTACATGCTAAGGAAGATGATGTTGGTAAATGAGACTCACATATCACAATTCCTCTCTAATTTAGTAAACAGATTGCCTTTGATTTGCTCAAGGTCACACCACTACTAAGTGTCTGATGCTATATTCGAACTTCGGTCTTCCTGACTCTAGTCTCAGTGCTCTATCCATTGTACCACCTAGCTGCACGGATGTGGTACGTTGGAGAAATGCATATTTCCTCCACTGCCTCCTGTGACACCCTTCCAGTCTCTATCTATGATATTAACATGGTATTGAAACCTAAACCAAGGAGAAATAAAGCAGAGAAAGAAAACTACAGACCTGTAACTCCAATGAATAATGACATAAAAATGTTAAATAAAATGTTAGCAAGTAGGCTATGGCAACATATTAGAAAAATTATACACAATGACTAGGTTGGGTTTATACTAGGAATGCAGTGTTGGCTTAACATAAGGAGAACAACACTTATAAAAAAGTTAATATAAAATTTTCAAAACTATGTGATTATATCAATTGATATTGAGGAAGTTTTTTTGTTTTTTGTTTGTTTTTACAAAATCTAGCACCTATTTCTATAAAAACTCTGCAAGCCACATTAGTAAATGGACCCTTCTTTAATACAGCAAATAATTACTGAAATTGAAGAGCAAGCATTATGTATAATACAGAAAAGTTAGCCTTTCCAATAAGATCAGGGTAAAAGATACCCATTGGCACCATTACTATTTAATATAGTATTAGAAATACCATCTGTAGCCATAAGAAAAGAAGAGAAATTGAAGAAATAAGTGGAGAGGAAACAACAGTATCATTTTTTACAGATGAAATAATGATTTACTTAGAAAAAAACCTTAAAGAGTCAGACAAAAATAAATTGAAACAAATTCAACAGTGTTTCAGGATATACAATAAATTCACACAAATCATTAGCATTCCCATAAGTTTACAACAAAACTTAAGAGGAAGAGCTAGAAAGAGAAATTCCATTTAAAATAGCTACAATAACTATAAAATATTTGGGAATGTATCTACCAAAAAAGAAAAACAAGACCCCTGTAACAAATATACATAGTCAAGCAAAACAAATTCCCAAATTGGCTATGTCCAAAAATACAGGTTTCATTCCATACCTTGCATCTATCACCTCCCTATCAAGAAGTGAATAACATGTCTCATTATTGGTCACTATTGATCTGAGTGCATAAGTCCTTCAACAACACGTAAAACAATGATTTGGTTAAGAGAAAGAGACCAAACCCAGTGAACATTTTAGTAAATGTGCCAAGAAAAAAAATGCAGTATGCATAAAATTTTTCAACTCCAATTAAGCAACCACATTCCTCTGTGCACATACCTTATTTACTGAATCTACTCAGTGTGATGCTCCAGTCCTAAATTCCAAGACCATTCCTATTGAACAGCACAAGTGAACATTGCAATCCTTTTATATTTACAGTTCCAAAACAAGGTGCTTTGGGCTTTAAGCCTCTGAGATTGCAGGTCTCCTCTCTGTGAAGACGTGGGAACTGAACCAGAAACAGACAGAAAAGACAGTGAGAAGCTGTCACTGTCTCAGAATTCAATGCAAACTAGGAAAATCCTAATGCTTAATGTCCATTAGAGAGTCAATCGGAAATGGAGGGTCAAGCAGAGGGCTGTTTCTTGGATGAATATTTCCTCTTTTAAGGGAGACATTTTCTTCTCATTCTGCCTTGCTAGGACTCCCCTCCATGAATGCAGATTGTTGAGGTGTGGCCTTATGGAGTATTACGTTTGCCTTCTATGTCTCAGAACTTTTCTTTTGCCAATGGGAGCAAAGGGCTAGGACTTACTTATTAACTTAAGAGCTCCGATATTTTTCTACAAAAGAGCTGAGTCAGAAAGACTTTTGTTTTTACTTTCATTTTTCCATAGCCTGAAACGGAAACTATGAAATACCAGAAGGAACTTTAAAATGACGAAAATGATAAATTCCCTGAAACCAGATAAAATCAGCAAAGAAAGAAAGGAAATTCCAAAGCAGACGGTCCCAGCCAGCTAAATGTGAAGTAAATACAGCTTTGGAAAAGAGGGATGTCACATGTCTTGGAATCAAAGTGTTCCATTTGAGTAAGACTCACTGTGAGGTGCAAAAGAAAGCGGTTTTTGCCTCACCCCTGGTTAGAGTCTCTTCCGGGTGTGTCCTGTTTATGCCTCTAACTTTCTAATCTCCTAGTCCAACCGTACCTCCTTTATACATGCTTCAATTAAAATAATCCATTTGACATGATTAATTCTTGATGAGTACCCTTAAAAAGAAGTTTGAAATGGAACTAAAATCTTTTAAGAATTCAGACAAGGGCCACATGATATCTCAAACAGGCAGGAGAAAAGAACTCCAAACTTAATACTAATATTAAGCATTTATATATGTATATAAACATATTTGTGATGTGTGTACATATATGTGTCTCTCTATATATATATATACATACATGCATACATACTTTATGTATGTTAACTCATTTGATCTGCACAACAGCCCTATGAGGGCAGAGCTAATATCATTCCCATTTTACAGATGAAGAAACCGAGATACGGAGAGGTTATGTGACTTGCCCAAGGTTAAACAACTAGTAAGACAAGAGCAAAACTCCCTGGCAGGAATCAGATTCAAATGTAATTGGGAAATGTTTAACAAAATAAATAAAATGCAACATAGAAAATATCATTTGTAGTTTTCTAAGTCAATATGTGCCCTGCGGGGAATCTGTTTCTATTTGAGTCTGACACCATCGCTGCGCTCTATCCATGGTACCACCTAGCTGCTCATAAGCTAGATTCGCAGTATTTTTTTCCCCTCTTGTTGGCCCTTTTAATTGGCTACTGACAACGAATAATCATTAAACACTTATTAAGCACTGCGCTAATCAATTAGGATACATATATAAGCAAAAAGAAAGACACTGGGAGCTTCCATTGTCTTGGGAGAAGATAACACATAAAAGAGAGCTGAAAAGCGCAACGGGAGAGACATCCCGGCAGGAAGAGGATGGCAGAATCTGGACAGTCAGAAACCCAAACTGAGACAGGAATTAATAACTAGCCTGGGCTAGTCCTCCAAATGGAGGCCCGGGAAGGAATTTACCAATGGAAGAAGAGGGCTGCACGGCTGGAGGTATATTTCAAGGTGAGAAGACCATAAGTGCAGAACTAAGTGACTGGGTAAGAAGTGAGTCAGAAGTAGAGTCAGGAGAGGAATGGGAGGTGAAGAAGCGTCACTCCCTTTCCCCATTTGTCTCAAGGCTACACTCTGGACTTCGTCCACCATGCCCCAGTTCTGAAGCCTCACTCCAGCCCCAGAATTCACACATTGGAAGTACCCTCAGCCCTGCATCCTTTCCCTGTGATTGCATGGCTCTCCCAGAACCTCCATTTGAAGACAGCATCCAGGCCAGACATATTTCATTCCTCTCCCGGCTGTGCTCGGTTTTCCTCTTCCGTATCTCTTCTTAGAAGGGTCCCTTGGCACTTTACACCTAGAATGTAAGTTCGGTGAGGGCAGAGGAACTGGCTTTCTTTCTACTTATATTTATATTCCTAGCATTTAGCACAGTCCTTGACACATAGTAAAAGCTTAATAAATGCAAGTTGACTGACAAGAGTATTAATGAACCCACTGGGTACCAGAAGGCACAAGAAGCTAAAAGTAGAAAGTCAAGGAAAAACAAACCTGTCCTTAAAGAGAGACAGCAGCCTTCCTGTTAAGCCTTCTGTAAGATTCCATACCACTGGAGAGGTTAACAAGTGGTCAGTATTATTTGTCTGAAACTAATTTCTTCAAATTAATTAATACTAATAAGAGAATGATGCCTTTCTTTTATTACTTCTAATTAATGAGCCTCTCACGGAATGTTGGCACCTTGAGGCAGTGAGCTGCCTGCTTGTTAAAACACACATCTAGAACATCCTTAGAAAGTAAACGTGATAGTCACCACAAACTCCCACAGGCTATTTTGTATTTTCAGCATGTGTGTGGTTATAATGGCACTCCCTGAGGGGACCCACTCAGGATGTGGATTCTCTATTCCTTCTTCCAAACTAACCCAGGGATTACTGAGTGGCCCCTTGAACCAAAATGCAGAGGAATGAGAAAAGAAACCGATTCGTTGAGATGATAAACCGTGGTCACAAGTGTCAAAATGGCTTCCTCTCTACTCCTTCAATTCTCACAAAACTAGCTAAGTCGAGTTACTAGGTAATAATGATGAAATGGTTGAGTGTTGGCAAGATACTGTAGAGAAGAATCAAACTGGTTTTCCTTTTCTCTATCCTCCACAACCCTCATGTCCCATACATTCCTTTCTCTTCCTTCTTCCTGAGGGTCACACCTTACTTACATATTAGAACCTTAGCTGGCAAGCATGTCTCACGTGTGTGACTGCATTCTGTGACTACTATACAACATTGTGTTGGGGGAGCAGGGAAGGAGGAAGTAAATGGCCCCTCTATTATACCTACAAAGACAGACAGCTTCCACCCCCAACACCAAACATATCCATGTGTCCATATCCCACATAAATGACTTACCTCATCTCCAAGAAGATTCCTGTACTCAAGAACTTAGAGCCAACTTTTTCTTTGCCTAGGGATCAAGCAGTTTTGCTCGCTCCTTTCATTTTCCTGTTTTGTCTTTTTTTTTTCTGCCCACTTCTAGAGCCTTACCTGCCCTGCACTGCCCCCAACTGGTTCCAACCCTTCACATAGGAAAACAGGACTTTCTGCAGGGAAGATGCTGGATATTTCAGGTATAGAGCCAGGAGATGGGGCCAGGCAGCACCTGTGTTCCTACAATCCCTCTGACATGGATTATTCTCAACTTTCTTATCTTTGCCAGTTTGTTGTATGTGAGGTGAAATTTGAGATTTGTTTTGCTTTGCATTTTTCTTATTACTGATTTGGAACAATCTTTCATGTGGCTGTCAATAGTTTCTTTTGAAATTAATTTGTTCAATTAATTTGTTTATTTGCTCAACATTTATTTGTTCAAAATTCTCTTGAAAATTATTTGTTTATAGCCTTTATCCATTAAGGAATTGTTCTTAATCTTATAATTATAATTATTATTGTTATTAGTCAACTCTCTACATACCTTGGATATCAGACCCTACCATTAGGATTATGTCAACAGATTCCCTTCTCAAATTTACTGCATTAATTTTTTTCATGTAAAAGCCTTTTAATTTAATGAAATCAAGTTATCTATTTAAGGAGTCAACTATGTTCGAAGGCCAAATCTAGCCACCGGCCTGAAAAGCTAAGAATAGTTTGGTTTTTTTTAACATTAAAAATTTTTTAAATACAACCTTTTTTTAAAAATATAACTCTATTTAAGATTACATTTAAAGTGTGAATTTTATTTTTAAATGTTTAGAAATTTTTAAAGTTTATATAAAAATGTAACAACACAACTTTATTTTAAAATGTAACTTTATTAAAACTTACATTTAAAACATAAACCTTATTCAAAAAAGAAAAACCAGGGGGCAGCTAGGTGGCACAGTGGATAGAGCACCGGCCCTGAAGTCAGGAGGACCTGAGTTCAAATCCAGCCTCAGACCAAATGCTTGACACTTACTAGCTGTGTGACCCTGGGCAAGTCACTTAACCCCAATTGCCTAAAAAAAAAATGAAAAACCATTCATATCTCACTATGCCATATAAAAAACAGGTGGGCCAGTTTGCTGACCTCCTTGATCTATTGTATCTTCTGTGATTTGCTTCATCCTTTATTTGGTTGGGAATTTTCTGCCTAGCCATAATGGTAAAAGATACAGCCATCTCTTTCTACCACCACTCCACCTCGCCTTTTTCTGGTGTGATATTTTATATTAATTTGAGGGTCCATTTGGAAGTTATTGGTGCATGGTGTAATAGTATCACCGATCCAGAACTAGAAGGGACCTACGAATTCATGTTCTCTAACTCCCTAATTTTGCAGATGAAGAAACTTCCTCTCAGAGAGGTTAAGCAACTTGCCCAAGGTCACACAGGCACAACTAGAATTTCCAGGGAAATAATGGGAAGAAAATAAGATGTTGAAATGACAAGTCCATTTCTTTCTTCCTTTCCTGATTTCTTTTACTTTTGTCGTTGTCGTTGTTGTTGGACTTTCTTCTGTATCTATGTAAGGCAAACTTTTTCCAGGCTTTGAGCCTGGATCAATTCTGTGTCCAAATCCTATTCCTTAGAGCAAGAGTTCTTGATTTTGGTGGGGGTCATAGGATTCTTTGGCAGTCTCGTGAAGCCCATGGACCCTTTCTCAGAACGATGATTTTAAATGAATAGAATAAAATACATAGGACTATAAAGGAAACAATTATAATGAAATACAGTTATCAAAGTGAGGAGGAAGAGAAGAGGAAATTGACTCTCGTCTCACCCAACTCTAGAGATACCCCTCAAAACAGACCTCCCACTTTACAACCAGAAAGAGAGGCAGAGGGATCAGCAGCCCAGTTTTGCATACCCGTGTATCCAGGTCACTATTCTGTATCTAGTATAAAGGATCGTACAGAATACAAGACTCCAAACAAGCAATCATTCTACGAAAATCATATTCCAGATGGAAGCAGCTCCCAAGATCAACAAGATAAAAACCCCTGCAAAAAGGAAACAGTTGGCAAAGAGGCTCCTCAGGGTCTGATGCACTTTCCCCCAGAACCTGAAGAACTATATTTATAAATCTCTTGGCCAAAATTCCCACAGCTGGATCCCAGTTCATTCCGTCTTCGGGCAATGTTAACTCTAACTGCCCAGGTCTACACCACAACA